ATCGCCGGAGCCCAGCAGGTCGAGGCTGCGGTGGCCGGGAGCGTGCCACTGCACTCCAGTCTGGGTGACAGAGTCAGACTCCAACTCCAAAAAAAAAGAAAGAAAGTAAATTAGAGGAAGATAGAGAAAAGGGGAATCCACCTTCCCCAGATTGGGGAGGGGGCCAGAGCTTGCAGAGAAACATGGCAGCCCGGCTAATTTTTAAATTTTTTTTGTAGAGACAAGGTCTCGCTATGTTGTGTAGGCTGGTCTCAAACTCCTGGTTCAAGTGATCCTCCCGCCTCAGCCTCCTAAAGTGCTGGGATTACAGGTGTGAGCCACCACACCCAGACTGTATGACTTAACTAATAAGAGCCAAACATAGAATTGTGGTTGCCAGGAGCTGGTAGGAGAGTATGTTGATATTTGGTCAGTTTGAGTGTAGAAGTATTACCCCTCTTGACCTCTCCTGTTTACAATCTTAAACATTTCCTCTATGTACAACTGAGAGCCACATCCAGCAGTGTGATTTGTGCTTCACCTGTTGAACATAACTTCAAATACCAGAGAGGAGACAATCTACCATGTATCCTTCTCACCCTTTTAATTGTCCTTCCTTCCTCCTGACATTCCAAGATTCCTTCTTTCTGTCATTTCCACCCACTCTGCTTGGAGAGTTATCGTTAGCCATTCTTTCTTTTTTTTTTTTTTTTTTGAGTTGGAGTCTTGCTGTCGCCCAGGTTGGAGTGCAGTGACATACTCACAACTGCAGCCTCAACCTGCTGGGCTCCAGTGATCCTTCCGCCTCAGTCTTCCAACTAGCTGGAACTACAGGCATGCGCCACCATGCCTGGCTAATTTTTTGATTTATTGTAGAAACAAGGTCTTCCAAGTTGCCCAGGCTGGTCTCCAATCCATGAGCTCAGGCAGTCCTCTCACTTTGGCCTCCCAAAGTGCTAGGATTATAGGCATGAGCCATCGTGCCCAGCCTGCCATTTCATTTTTTTTTTATTTGAGTAGGATCGCCGGAGCCCAGACTGGAGTGCAGCGGCCGCTCCCGGCCACCGCAGCCTCGACCTGCTGGGCT